CACACTAAATATAAATTTTTGTTTGAATTTAAATTTATAGATTTTTTACCCTTAAAATTTTTCTGAGTTTTGTGAAGTCTTATCGGAATAATCTGTGTAAACGGCTTTAATCGAAAAACGGCTCAAATGATTTTAACGTCATACTGACCATTTGAAAGAAGAGAAACGTAGCTTTTAAGATATATAATTATTTGTCAGAAATTAACCTAGTTTTTTAAGGGAAATGATCGTCCGTTTTTAACGTTTTATACAGATAGATACACTTGACAATATCTTTAAAACGAATTATCAACCATGAAAATCGGTTTTGAGAAAAATGATGTTAGGTATTGTCAGTCATACAGATAGATCGTCGAAATATAAGTCAAAAAATTAATTTACAATTTCCGAAAAATCAGTATCTAAGTGTTTTATAACGCTAGAATCACGGCAATGAGGTCAAATCCAAATTTGACCTTTTCTGTCCTACTTTGCTTACGTTTGTTAAAATATGCAAAAAAAAGCAGTATTTTGTTGATTTATCTATTTTAAATCATACCATAGAACATTTTTGTTTTTATGATAATCAACAAAGCATATAGATGCAAAATGTGCCTTCCTTCTACCACGTGGCATATCAAAATTATCCAAATTTATTGGACCTCTCTTTTCCAAACGACTCCAAGATTTTTTCGTCCGTTGTAAACGGCTTTATTATCCCTTAAGATATAGTATTCACGTTAATTTGTTTATGAAATTGTTAAAAAACAAAAATAAATTACATCTCTAATTTTTGACTGAAAATGTTAGATGGAGCAAGTTGCGATTGCTAAATAATTTCGTAGGAACAGAATACCTACCAGGTGCCGCCATTTTGGTAAGAAAGTGAAATATCACCGTTGTCTTCGGAGATAGATTGGTGTCAGAAAGAAAACATTAAAGATGGTCAAAACCCTTAAGCATGTCGTCCGTTCTATGTCCTTAAATAAAACATTACTTCTGCTTGATGTTGATGATGATAAGGGAATGCTAGGACGGGGTGGTTTTGCACCCCCAGGCACTACAGCTTTCTGACTTATTGTATTTTTCCTACCTCCACTGCGATTTTCTCTTTCTTTGTCCGTTTGTTCATTTCTACTACTACCATACTTTGAAGTTGTAGAAACTTAATTGCCTTCTCTGATGTGTTGACTGGTCCACAACGTAGTTTGACGACTAGGTCATTTCTCCCAATCCACCTAGATCCTGCCTAACTATTTATTATTATTGGTGGTTGTTCCTCACAGGAGATGGTGTAAAGCCGAAATGCCCTTCAGTGAAACCTAAACCTGCAAGAGAGTAGGTACCCCAGTAGATCGATCAAGTGCCAAACAGTTAAAACCTTTCGCTGACCTATCGGTCTTTAATCTTTTTTTGGCATACCAAATGTAGATCCATCAAAAAATGGGTGAATAATAATTCCTAAATCCAATCGGAATGTATTTGAGGACAGAGGCATGTAAAAAAGTGTTCATTGTAAGACCATCGCAGAAATCATCAGCAGAACTACTGATTCTATGATGTCCAAGAACTAGAATAGAATTATTGATGGACACAGCAGACTCTGGAGGCAGAAATAAGCCTATTAAGATATTACCAGGAAGAAGAAACAACGGAACAAATCTGCTGTCAGTGCGAAGACCTATGTAGGCTTACATTCCTACTTTTGGGAGAGGAAAAGCTTAGGGATCTAATAAAAATGCTTAAGCTTAATGAAGAGAGAATGGAGGTTGCACAATAGATCGCTTGTTTTACCCTCTCTAACAATATGGTTGCTGTTTGTGACTAGCTGTTCTTGAATTATGGGTTTACTGTGTCTGGCATCTCTTAAGATAGTCCACTACTGTTGATTTTTTGTGGACCAATTCTGAGATGGTGGACCGTGTTTGATTGTTATCCCAAGTTCTGGGCCTTTATATCTTGCAGATCCTCCTCTGGCCAGTTTGCTTGTTGATTACCAAAAACTACTTCGTCTCCCGCACCCAATTGTCAGTGTTACTGCTTTTTAATCAAAGCGCTCAGATTTGCAGTTTTTTATTTTTTCACTCACTGTACTTTAACAAACAAAAATCGTCCTAGTGAGATTCGAAAAGAAAGAAACAATAGATTGCATCAAAAACTCTGAATCCTAACAGGTCACCATGGACTGAATGGGCATTTTAGGGAGACAACCAACACAATATAAGCAGATTTTGCGAAGAAAGCACCTACTAACAGACAGTAGTGCTACACTTCTCCGATGTACAAAATAATCATAGAAGAAATATGATCAGTGTACATAGGTTCAGAATGACGGATACAATAGCTCTCAAGTATGCCAAATTACTCCAACATTTTTTTCTTTTTCTTAACAATTCTACTGGGCTGGTTAAGGTGTAAATATTGTCAACTGTCTAGAAATAATGAACTATCACTAGTTAATTAGACTAACAAGACATAGTAACCTGTTTAGGTACAGGTTAGGTGAGGGGGGGTTAGGGAGAAAACCACTCTTTTCACCCCCTTCACCCCAATCTGGCCTATCAAACTTTTGAGAAATTGCGACAGAATCAATTTTCTGGAAAACCTTTCGGACAAAATATCTACATCTAAATTTTGAACGATATTGGTATATCCCAAAAGGAGTAAGAGTACTTCAAAGCGAACTAATCGAATTTCTATGAATGGTACAGGATAAATTAGGCTGGGAGTCAGGTAAAGGCTGAGAATTTAGGCACGGGAACGCATTTTAGTATAGCAATCAGTCCTGAAAAGGTTAAATTTTGATTGTTACATTAGGTTTGGTTAGGTCAACAAGGGTTAGGGGATTAGGGATGGGTTAAGTTAGATTAGGAATCGTTGGGTTAACAGGGGTGAGAAGGGTTAGGTTGTTAATGAGGAATCGTTGGGTTAACCAGGGTTAGAGTTAGGGATGGGTTAAGTTAGATTAGGAATCATTGGGTTAACAAGGGTTAGAGTTAGGGTTAGGTTAAGTTAGATTAGGAATCGTTGGATTAATAAAGGTTAGAGTTAGAGATGAGTTAGGTTATATTTTTTTACAGCAGCTCTAAAGCGATTATAAAACTTACCTAAGAAATGTAAGAAGTTCGCTTCTTGTCATGGGATAAGTCAACATGTACAAATCTTCATCGCTGAAATCTAAAGCGTCAAAATCACTCAGGTCTTCCAAACCTGTATCCATTACAAAATAAAAGACAAAATTCACATTATATATCAACTATTCCATTTTGAATTGCAAACGTTTCGTTTACCACTTAAACCATCGGAGTCCAACATTGGACAGTTCAGGGCACATTCCATCAGAGTTAAAAATCAGGCCATGTTCGGGGGGTGGTGTACAGTCATAAATTAGGGATTAGTTGGCAACTGGTTTGTGATTGTGTGATGGAACAAATATAATAGAAAAAAGTTTAACAGTTTGCCATTTCTTTAATATAACAACCCTGTAATTCAATCAACCTTTACAAATGGTCCTGGTGGCACACTGAAATTTAAAACACCCACCAAAGTTTACTCATGGAATTATGCGCAAGATAAATTTGGTGGGCGCAAGCAGTGAGCAATGAAAAAGAGACAATTTATTTCACTGAGTAAGCCATTTTAATCCGATCCTTTACCCATCTCTATGGGTTAGGTTAAGTTAGATTAAAAAGTTAGATAGGGTTAGGATTAGAGACAGATTAAGTTAGGTTAGGAATGGTTAGGTTACATTGTCAATGTGAAGAAAATAAGCGAATGCAAAACGAGGCGTTTTTAATGTTTTCAATTCATTTCTCTCTTGTAGAACCAATTTAAAATGTAGGCAAAATTGAACAAGCACTGGGCCGCAAAATTAAATTTCTTTTACGGTGTTGCAATGAATTTCTAGATTACATTGGGGAAAAACAATCAGCTATTCAATAATATATAAAATTTTATTTCCTCTTATTTCTGGCTGTACAGATGTTTTTATTTGTTATTGTTTATTTATACACTTCTATTTAAGATTTGATGAGTCTTTGTTTATATTAATTTCTTCAAATAAATTAATGAATTTATAACCTTTTTATAACATATAAATGTCCACAAAACATACATTTATCACTCATATCACTCTAGTTAAGATATTGCCTATAGGTATTAAACATTAAGGGTTCGCTTTCGTTTATTTAAGTTTATCTTGTATTTAGTTTTCCAGTATTTCAGAAAGTTTAGAGTTAACAATGTCGAAATAAAAGAGGAATAAAAAATACAAAGACAAAAAACTGGTCAGAAGAATTTTCTTATGAATTATGATTTGTATACAATTCAATCAATTACAAGTGCTTTTGTAACAAAATGTTAACAAATTTTAAAAATATCTATGTATATTTGAAAAGGTATGTTAAAGCCTGGGAGCCTGTTCCTTAAGTAGATGTAAAATAACTAAATAAAAAATAAAAAAAAAACCTGTGAAATTAATTCCAATTTTATAAATGTACAAATATAAATAACCAGATGTTACATTATTCACAACATCTGTATCAGAATTAAAAATACCAAAACAAAATTGTAAAGTTTTCCTTTTTCATTAAACAATTGAAAAACAAGGGATATGCTGGTGAACAAATATTTACAGATTTACTTTATATATTTTTTTCCACATATAAACTCTTCAGTGCCTCAATTTAATCATTTTTGACTGGGCCTACAAAAGTAAAAATATATATTTTGTTTTAATGTTATTTAATTAATAAATAATCACAAAAAATTTAAAAAAAAAATTGTTCTTATATCACAACAAATTATACTTTCAGATATTGCGGAAAAACACATTTATGTCTTATACTATTTGAAGTAGCCTAATACTGATTTTGTGTACAAAGGATAAGTTCATTTCTGTAAAATACCCTATTATATCTACATAAACATTCTTTCGTTCATTTCCCTAACAAGAACAAATACTTCGCATAAATTTAAAAATTGTATTTACAAATTTACAATTGACGAATTCAAGTCATCAAATATACATTTTGCATTATGTGTGCAGGATTAAAGTACATTTTATACAAAAATTTAAGAAAAAATAGTTCACTCCTTAAAAACGTTAGGGTCACCTTGGATTACTCATATCAAATAAAACGTGTGCAATTGTTCTGGACGATTCGACATTACTCAGCGCAACGCTGGCCAAATGAGGTTCGTATCTTGTTAGATGCCTGGAAATTAATCAAATTAGAAACAAATTTCAAGTTCATTAGCAAAACATGTCTTACCTTCTCCCATGGGTTGAGTATATGACTAGGTTTCTTAATATGAGAGCAGCAGTTAATCTGATACTTTTTGTCACTGGCCCTTCATTGTCATCCTAAAAAACAAACAACAATTTTTAAAAGGATCTTGTCAAATTTTTAACCAATTTGCCAGAGATTTCAATGAAAAAAGTCTCAGCTGTAAAATATTCTAATATTTTTCTTCTATAATTGCTAAAATTTAACTTTAATTTAAACTCGTTAAGGTGAACTAAAGATAATTTTAAAAAACAAGTTAAAACAAATTTACAATAGTTAAGCACTAATTCTTAATAATTAATAAATTTGGTTTAAATGACAGTCAACTGTCAACTAATACAAATTAACATAAAGCAATTAACTTTTAATACATCACCAGCTAAAAATGACATGCATAAAAATATATAACATCGTAACTATCATGATAAAAGAATGATTTTTAGTACATTTAACAATAAAGCAAACATTTGTTTACAAGCTAACAAAATTAGTCTTCGTAATCATCGCTCTCACGAACCGAAAAAAAATATATACAGATATTTCAAAAATGAGTGATAAAAAGTCAAAAATTTAATCACTTACAACTTGTTTGTACATTGAAGGTAATACACAAACCAAACATGACGGTTATACGCTGCTGCTCATTTCCAAAATAATTAAGATAATTATAATTATTGGGGATACAAGTTTTAAAGGATTTACGAGACAGGGCGTTACTAGTGTTAAATTGCATTGGACTGTGTAACCTAACCACCTTCATGTTAAAGTAACTGTTAGGCTTTAGTCCTCAGTAGGTATTTTGTCAAAATATAAACAATATAGTTTTTTAAACTGCAAATATATTGACTTGTGCAGAAGCTTTACTTTTCTGCTTACCTCTGAACAAACACAAAAGTTGTGCCCTAGTTGGGAGTACTGGTTTAGACAGTTCGAAAGTGGCAATTTTGACAAGGGGGTAAGGAACATAGAGGAAGGCCAAAAATGTTTGAAGATGCAGAATGAGTGGGACTCTTGTCAAACACGAGAACTTCCAGAATTTTTGGGAGTGGCTCAACAAGTGATTTAGTCAAAGCCATGGAAATGGTCCAAAAGCAGAGAAATTTAGTGCTATACTAATAAAAGCTAAGAGACGTTTAAAGATTTGTCACTTGCAAACAGCCGTTCCAAAGGCAAAAAAGGTTTTCTGCTTCAAATCGGAACTGGTGATAAAAGTGGATTCATTACTCCATGAAGAAATTGTGGGGTAGTAAGCCCAGCCATGCATCAACATCAACAGCGAAGCAAATATTCAATCAAAACTTATGTATTTGCTCGAATCAGGTGTAGTATATTATGTGCTATTAAAACCGAATGAAACCATCATGGGAGACAGCTACTGACTACAAATTGACGTGTTTGAGCAAAGCCTTGAAGGACAACAGCAGGAATTTGAGCTGAAACACGACAATTCTCAACCACATGTTGCAATTCCAGTCAAAAACTGCTTGGAAAGCCTCAAATGGAATATCCTATCCCACCTGCCATATTTATCAGACATTGCTCCTTCTGACTACCATTTGTTTCAATCAATGACTCATGTCCTACAGGTCGAATCCTTCATTGCCTCTAAAGACCAGTTGTTCTTTCAATGTGGAATCTGTAATATGCTGCCAGAAAGATGAGCAAAAGTTGCTAGTGTTGTGAGGATTTGTGATGTCAAGATGGGAGAGTTTTGAAAGATGGAATGGGATTTAGACTCTAATTTATTCAAGGTATGGATAAACGTGTTGTCTTCTAAAGATGCCATCATATGATACTCCATCAAAAGCTTAACAATGTGCTAATCAGATACCGATATGAGCTACAGAACATGGGACTTCTGGTGTCACTAAAGCTGCCAAGGAGAAACTGAGAGTAGACATTTTAATTGCGGGCACTGAATCCAAGTTAGCAATTTTAGAGGACATGAAGCTAAAACAGGTCGTGTAAAAATTATATAACTATTAAAAACCTGGAAACATGATCAATCACTGGATGTTAATAATTAGTTTTCAACTGTGAACCTGGTTGGTGATTGATCAGGTTATGAACCTGGAAGGGTGATCCATCACTGGATGTTAATAATTAGTTTTCAGGTCACTGAACCTGGTTGGTGATTGATCACAGGTTAAAAACCCGGAAACATGATCAATCACTGGATGTTAATAATTAGTTTTCAGGTCACTGAACCTGGTTGGTGATTGATCATCAGGTTAAAACCTGGAAGGGTGATCAATTACTGGATGTTAATAATTAGTTTTCAGGTCACTGAAACCTGGTTGTGGTGATTGATCAGGTTATGAACCTGGAAGGGTGATCCATCACTGGATATTAATAATTTGTTATCAGGTCACTTAACCTGGTTGTGGTGATTGAACAGGTTATGAACCTGATTGTGGTGATTGATCAGGTTATGAACCTGGAAGGGTGATCCATCATGGATATTAATAATTTGTTATCAGGTCACTAAACCTGGTTGTGGTGATTGATCATCAGGTTATGAACCTGGAAGGGTGATCCATCATGGATATTAATAATTTGTTGTCAGGTCACTTAACCTGGTTGTGGTGATTGATCAGGTTATGAACCTGGAAGGGTGATCCATCACTGGTTGTTAATAATTTGTTGTCAGGTCACTTAACCTGGTTGGTGACTGATCACTGGAAGGCAAAAAAAATCTGGTTCTTTTCATTTTAAATTGTTATAATTTATTATTTTTCTTGTTTCTAGGAAATGATCACTTCGAGAGAAAAACTGGTGTTGGTGACGAACATATTGATTATGTCACTGCCAACACTCGACCTCATTTTGGCATTGGTAGAGAGCAAGTAAGAAGGCCGACAAACAGTACAATCTGTGCGGAGTGGATAGTACACAAAGGATAATCAAGTTCAAACCGCCAAGCAGTATATGGGCTGCTATATTTCAAACTGGAATGATGGATTTAAGCCTCACATATTGTTTATTACATTATATCTAACGCTAGCAATTGACAATATTTGGAGTAATCTAAAAAAAAAAAAAAAAAAAATCCTTTAAAACTTACCAAGCCCAATGCAATTACATGTTAAGGATTATTTGTGTGAGGTAAATATTTTCAATTAATTTTGGTGAGTTGTGTTTGTTTACGTTTTGAGTGAACTCATGCTGATTTTTTGATTTTTGACATGTATATTCTCTGTATTGTTCTATGATTAAAATAATTACGGATACAAAATATTGCCTCTGTAATGAATTGCGTCAAGTGAATGAATCAAACATATGACTAATAATTTTCAATTTTTTTCCACAATTTGTGATAGTGAAATAAAAACATGCTACAGTACCCCTGGCTAAATGTTTACGACAAAAATTTTACACAATAAGTTTTTAAATTTGCGACATTTATTCCATAGAACAAGTCATACTATTTGCACTTAAAACAACATTAATAAATTAAGTGGCATTAATTATTTATACTACAAAAAAGTAGGAGACGTAAAAATTTAATTACTTTCCTGAACTTGAATGAGTACTTCATTTTGTAGATATAATATAATTACACATTATAAAAATAAGCCAATTTCTAGTTACACATATACATAAAATTGCACACAAAAAATAAATCGCTAATGAAAAACAAAACAATAAACTACATCCGTGCCACTAAGTATACAAGATGCATTATGATGAATTCACACCATGCTGAAAACATTTAACTTTACCTGTTCTGATTGAACTGGAACAGGCATCGGACCAGGCTTTACTGCCCGTTGCTGTTATAACAAAATCGAAAATTAAATCACTGTAGTGTAAGAACTGCACTGTCAGTAATGAAAAAAAGGAAAACTAACTCTAAAATGAAAGACTGGTAACTTTCAACAATAGTAAATATTGAAAATAAATTATGATCCTGAATTATTGAAAATTTTATAGTTTATTATAGTAACCCCTTTTGCACTTTAATTCTCATGAACCCCAGAGGCAGTCATTTTTATAAGAAGTGATTGTTCGTAAAATGTCCGTTTGTAAGTGAATTGTAATATCGGTACACAAGGGAGTAGGTTGATTACACAGGTAATTTGGTTTTTTAAATAGTTGGTAAATGTAGCCCAAATACATTTATCCTGAATAAGCGTCTTTGTGTGAATAGTGTGACATTTAATTGGCGGTTAAACTCGACAGAAAATTTTAACAGCCAGGACTTAAAAGAAACCGTAGAGTGGACTAAAAGTTAAAAGACCTTTTTATTCAAAATTAGTACTGAAAAAAAAAATTAAGAAAAATTGAATGCTCTTGAAACACAATACCTGTAATTCTTTAGGATTAACAAATTCCAATGCATGCCGCTTAATTGCGTGGAAAGCAGCATTGGGTGCATAACCAGGATGAGGAGCAGCAGGGATAGGAGGAGGAATTTCACTTCTACCCGTAACTGAAAGTTGTTTCCGCCTAACAGCCATCATCCTCATTACCTATAGAAAATTGCAACATAAATTAATTTCTAACTATTATAATTATTATTAAATAGTCCCTCAAAATAATTTCCTTTGGTGGTATTGGGGTTATTTTATTTAGTTATATTTTGAACTAAAATTAATTTCTCTATATTAAGTAATGAATGTGTCATTGGCGAAAAATTATACTTACATCAGCATTGCAATGTTTATCGTAAAGATGAGTCATCAGTGAAAAGCGCTTTCTCTTCATGGCGTCACATCTTTCCCACAAGCACTGAATCTCTTGACTTCCTTGAGGACAATGCGCTTCGCAAGCATGCATGTATACTTCATTTCCAGATTTGAAATTCCTTTAAACATGGAAGTTAATGATTAATTTCAATTTTAACAACAAATATTATTTCCATATTAGACCAAGTGATAATTAATAGTTAGGCTTATAGAGGGTTTTTTCTATGATGTAAAGATAAAGAAATTATTAAGAAGTAAAAGTAATGTTTTACTTTTATTATTAATTTGTCAGGAAATTAAAACAAATATTTACTTAAAAAAAATAATATAACGGTTTCTTACCTCATACATCCTCTCCACTCACACAGAAAATGCCCTTGCTCTGTTGTTTTAGGGACCATTCCACCAGGGGATGTGGAAGTCATCGAAGAGTTAGAAGTTGCCATCGAGGCTGAAGTTGAAAGAAGGGTGTTAGTTGTCACTGTAACCGGCGTGGCACACGGTGCCGGTATGGAAGGCATAGCAACTGCTGGTAAACTTTGGTTGTTTGTAGGAGGGCAAGTAGTTGAGGTTAAAGTAGTCGAGGATTGGTTAAGAGTAGGAGTCATGAGTACAGGGGTAGAAGTCGTTTTAATAGTTTTTATTGTTTTCTGAATAGGTTGTGATAGTAATGGAGGAGTCGGAGGGGGTTTGGGAGGAGTTACAGATCTAAGAGGTGTATTTTGGGGTTGAGACGTCGTCGCCAGAAGGGGAGGAGGAGGTGGAGATTGAAGTCTTTGTACTATCACTTTTTGGTGTTGGTTACCGGGCACACTTTGAGGTTGTAATATGATAATGGTTTTCGCAGCAGTTCCTTGTTGCTGGGGTGTTTGGGCCACCAAAACTGTTTGAGTTTGTCCCTAGACAATTTAAACAAAGTAAATAAGTACAAATTCAGAGAGAAAAATGTGTTAAAATCAAGCCTACCTGTACCAAAGCAGTTTGTGGTTGAGTGACTACATAATGTTGTCCGCCAACTACTACCCTTTGAGTCAGTTGGCCACCAGCTGTCACTAGGATTTGACGTGGTTGTGAGGAAGTAACAATTAAAGGCTGCTGTTGTTGTTGCTGTTGCTGTTGTTGTTGTTGTTGCTGCTGTTGTTGTGGTTGTTGCTGTGGAGTGAGTTCATCCAGAGGCTCATCCTCCAAAGTATCAGCAGCTAACGCGGCATACAAGTTTGCAGCAGTTGATGAAACAGCTCCTAAAACATCTGTATTATGGTTTATCTTATTCTGAAAATTATATATAAGGAAATATTTTTTTAAGTGTTTATTATTAAATTTTCACCTTCTTCTGGTGGTTCTTCCATTTTGACATCACCATTAAGATGAGGTCTTTTGCTCTCAGGAAAATCATCCGAGTCAGATGGCCTTTTCAAACTATCCCTTGAACTTTCGTCTAGTTTTTCAGAGTCAAATTCTAGTCCGTTGATATTACGATTAGTGTTCACAGTGACAGAATTTTTCTCAATGTCTTTCTTTCCCTGAACCAATTCCAATCCTTTGTCCCCTATCCGCAATGATCCGTTAAGTACAGGAGGTTCATTTTTGTCCATATTCTTCTCAAGAAGGTCGGCCAGCATCATACTTTTCGGAACTGAATCTTTACTACTCGTATCTTCAAACTCGAGTGGGTTGGGAATTCCATTTAGAAGAAAACCGTCCATAGAACTCACCGAATTTTCACCTTCTTCGCCACCTTTTGAAACAAATAGCAATTAAACAATATATCAAAATTTCAGTCTAACTAACAAGAATAGAAGTACAAATAATAAATACCGGTTCCACTTAAATTATCCTTTATTCCAGTGCTAGATGTCATAGAATTGCTGGCGGAATTTCCATCGTCGTTTAAAAAACTGACAGAACTTGTATTGTTAAGTTTATTGCTCAACGGTGTCAGCGGAGGAGGTCTACTCAGGCTATTATCAGTACCGCTCGTGACAAATAATGCAGCCCCATTTGGATTTTCCACTTTCTCCTGTAAAAAGAAAATTGATTGCAACTTTACATTTAATATCGCCTGGTCACGTTTTATTATACACGTTAGTATGCATATGTTATATGAATTTTTCTTTTAAATTTTGACTGAATATTTTGTTTTAAGAGTTTATTTTACAATACATACTCGATGGTTGTGTTAAATTATATTTTATCAAGAATATAATAGAATAAAAAGTAAAGATACAAGATCTAACACAAAAAGTAAACTTTAAAATAATCATACCAGGGGATCACAACGGACACCGTTCACTTTGCAATTGACGCCAGCCTTATTTTGAAACATGACCGACTGCAAAGGTAACCCTTTGTTAGGCTGGTCCTCAATTTTGATCAAAGAATTCAACTGTGGCGGTGATTGCTGCTGTTGAAGCATTGGTGATTGCTGTTGTTGAAGTAATCTCTGCTGCTGTTGCCTTTGTGTAACCTACAAGATTAACGTGTGTTATACATCGACGCACTTTTTTTTCTTTAACGATATAACTAGATTAAAAAAAAAGAAACAAAGTGCAAAATATTTGTTGTTAATGAAGAAAAAAAAACATAACTAAATCAGTTTTGGTGTTAAAAAGAGTTTTCAGACGGAATATTTAGTAGAATTAATTACAAAACGAAAACTAATGCAAATGTTAAATAAATAAGATTTTTCTAGTTCTCAGTAACTTTTTTTTTAGAAATGAAGTAAGCAATTTGAAATTCATTTCAAATGACAAAATTCTATAAGAATAAAATAAAGGGAATGCAAATTATCTAGACATGTTAATTGTTCCTTCGTAAACAATTCTTGAGAAGAAAAGAACAACAATCCATGTTGTTTAAGAAAAACATATCAACTGTAAATGAGTCAAGTATAATCACTATTTTACATTATTTTACTCAAAATTGTTTCTTTACTAGTCAAATTAAATCCTAGTTGAAATGACAGCTAATTTGTTTAAAATAATTATGTCAAAAATTAACTGACTATGTTAAGGTTCTTACGATTCAATTTTTTTTTAATCAACTAAACTATTTATCATGAGAACTTTCAGTTATCATTACATGACTAAAAACATGTAAACTTCCCAGTTGCTGTTTGTGGATATGAAATGTGACAATAAAATTTTTAGGATTTTAACATAACTATTAGTGCCTTAGGAATCACAGACTTACATTATTATAAAGTATTTTTATACAGTTGAACTTCCAAAAAACGGACAATTTTTCCATCCTGTCATTTTCCATTCACTAACTAATAAAAGAAATATACTTCTAATAACCAGATATTCTGATAAATGGACACTACACTATTGATTTTCTGTTGAAAAAGACTCATCTAAGCGGACAGAAAAAAGAAAAACAACAATTCAAATAAATTTTGGGAAATCTCACACTGCACAAAATCCTATCGAACGTCTTTGGACATTCCCGGTCAGTTGTCAGTTCAGTTAGTTAAACAATTGTCAGATTGTAATTTTGATAAACCGAGAGATAAGTGCAGAAAAATCTCTTGTCAGAGAAAAAAGCCAGACGAAACAAGTCAATAAAAACTGTCTGATTTAATATTGCAAAATTAAGGCATTTGCCTTTTGCCGCAGATTACCAGTCTATAAAGTGACTTTGCCTCAAAATCTGTCAGCATTCATGATGCAAATTTACCTCAATTTACACGGAACTTTTTATACGTGGAATTGATTCACTCGAGCTTATTTCACACGTTGTGTACTACATATTTTTCTATAAGTTGTAAAATTGACTATACAGTATTGTGAGACTGGTTTCAGTTGGTTGACCGTGTGATGCAGAAAGAACTCAAGATTCGATTTATACAATTTTTGTTTGTGTAAATCAAATCCAGGTAAAATAGATATTCACGTAAATTGTGGGATGGGTTTATATGCATGAAATATTTAAATTGAAAAAATTGAAGTAAGAAACAATGTAGAAATAGAACCTGGCCAATTATATATCCAGTAATGAGTGAATTTTGTCAACTACAATAAAAATAATTAATTCACTACTTTTGTGGTCCGCTTGACCAATTAATACATGACAATTAATTAAGGATGTTAAGGCACGAGAGGGATCCGAACCCACGACCTTCGGCTAGATACGCCACTGCTCTACCACCTGAGCTATCGTGACCTCGATCCACTCGGACATCAACTCCCCATCTCAACCCCACCTTATGAGTTTTCCCTCCTTTTGCCATTTTTCAAATGTCGTGTAATCGGTTTGGATTCGTGGGTTCGAATCCCTCTCGTGCCATTAACTTTTTTTCATCTCAACTAAAAACCTTAATTAATTGTCAAATAAAAATAATGTTTACGAAGCTTATCTATTAAGGGATTAACTGGATCTCCCCCAGTAAAATTAAGTGCGCTTACTTAATAATAATTACTTTATAAACTAATATGAAAGGAAAATTTATACAAAAATAAAACAAATTACATTCAATATATGTAATGAGACAACACTCTGAACTAAAAAGATGTGAAGGATCCAATAACAAATGTGTGTTTTGTGGGAGGATAAAAAATTAAAATAACCATTGGGAGTTTTCGTTAAATTTTTATAGTCTTAAAAACAAACAGGGAAAAATTAATATGAAAATGAAGATCATAAATAAGAACAGTAAAAAATATATTAACTACAAAAGCCATACTTACTAAACTAAATTAGAAAATACAAATACCTTAAAATATGCATTAGAAATAATCAAAACAACAACAAAAATACATCTCTTTTCAAAATAAAACTTGCGTTAGTTGTGAAATATAGTATTAGAAACTACATAAACAGAAAAATATTATTCTAATAAAGGGATTTTTATAAAGCTAAATCCAACACTGTATGATCCATGCCATTACTGAAGTACCTCATGCATGCATCATTTTCACCTGACCAGGTTTAAATGTCCTCTCGAAAGCCAAACTTACACCTTCAGTGTTATGCTTTCTTAAGGGAACAAATATAAATTGGTTTTCCTGAATTGTTTTTACTACTACCACAACTAATGCTCACTAAGAATATACGAATGCTTATATAAAAAAAATAATTGAACGCAATTTTTGAGAAATGATAAAAAAAAAATGAACAGAAAAAAAAACATTTCCATAAGATGTAAGACGGCTTTGGCTCTCTCAGGGACTGACCTGATCTTGATGATGTTGCGGTTCTGTTACCTTGCTAGCAAGTAGAGTTTTGATTAATGATGTTGTACCCTGCTCTCCTGGGGGTGGACTTCCCCCGCCCTCAACCTGCTCCTATGAAAATGTCCCCACTTTTTCATTCAAAGAATTTTTTGAAATGCAAAATGAAACAGCTCTAAATACACAACAACCATGAAACCCAACACATAACAATATCTTGGGTTAACAAGTCAGAGAATCGGTTTCTTTAACCGTTTAGACCGTACACCATATACCACCATCGATTTAATTGTGTACTCGTATTATTAAAAATAATGGTTTACCTTCACAGGCTGTGGGGTAGACGGGGTGGGTTTTGGCGGTGCACTTAATTGGGCCTTTAGAATGGGCGAAGGAGTGCTCTGTATCTGAGGAGATTGAACTATCTGCGATGTGTTTATAACTGTTGGTGCCGTTAGTGTCGATGATTTTCCTCGACTTTGTATGCCTTCATAAAAATGTTGAGTGATGTCACCAACAGTTGTAGGTTTTGGTCCAACTGAACCGCCGAACACAGATCTAATATTTAAAAAAAAAATTGAATTATTATTGGCAATTGATTGATATTGGATTTGAATGGGGGAAAATGGCTTTTGCACCATACCTGACACAGCGTGGAAAGTGGAGTGGTGCTATTACACCCCTCCTTCCTATTTTTTGACAGTTATTTATATACTGCTTGTACAGTTCTGCTTGTTCTATCCGTCCAGTACTAACAAGTTCGAAAGTATTCCTCAACCATGCAAGAGCATACTGTTCGTTTTCCTGTGCAACTTGCTGAGTTGCATGAGCTGATATTGTAGCAGGAGAAGCTGGTATTGGAGTTTGTGGTATTGAAACTGAAAACGATGTAAAATCCACTTTATAAAGAAAAATAAATGAAATATTAAAAAAACAAACCTTTCTGAGGAGTCGATATAGTTGACAAAGTAACTGGAGTTGTCAATGAAACTGGTGTTGTTAAAGAAGTCGGTATTGAAGAAACAGGCACAGGTGTAGGTACAGTTACAGTAACGGATGTTGTAGAAACAGGAGTTACAGATTGTGGATGAGAGGGTGTCAAATGTGGTATAACTGATGCGGCACTCGTCGCCGTTGTCAAAAGTTGTACAGGAGGTGATACACTCGTAGCAGTAACTGTCGAGCTCACGGTGCTCGACTGAGTCGGCTGGCAAACCACACCACTCCCTCCTCCAGTCACAGTTTCTACAACTCTCATTTGGATGCAAGCTTTAGGGCCATAGCTCTGTGCCTAAACGAAAAAGTTGATTATAGAATAAGTTACTATTTTGCTTTATTTATCTCTACAAACCTCAACTGTTATAAGTGAGACAAGTACATCAAGAGCTCCACGGACTCGTAAAATGTTATTACATGCTTTTTCACCAAGAGAACTGATTGTGTTTAGACATTCCAATGTATATACCAAAAGCATTATATCGTGAAGAGTTAAAAATGAACACAACCGATCGTAAACCTAAAATATAAATATAACATTTAATCAGTGAAGTAATGAAATTTAAATTTTATTCTTACTTCCTGTTGTAGATATCTCAACAGATAGTCTTCATTCTTTTCGCACTGTCCTAGTTTATTTAAAACTTCCAATGAAGACAAAATAATCGCTCTGTCTTGAGAAAGTAGCCCTTTTGTACTGACAAGAAGTATATCTTCAATTAAAGGCGACTGAATAGTTATTTCTGAGGAGATGTTTCCTAACATGTCCCAACCCATTTGGTGTAAGCCATTCCAATTAGAATTACAACATAACAAAACAAATCTGAGGAATGTCAAGTCTCTTCCCATTATGGGGACGTTATCACTTAAAAACGTTAGGTTTCGCACTATCGTTGCTATTTGGCACACCCTCTGTCCAATATAATCTTGAACGCCAAGAGTTCTTCCAAGGCAAAACAACTCATTGTCTTCAGGATCCAACTTAAGGTTGCTTTTATTGTTCACATCGCTGGACTCTCCACTGGAATAATTGCGGTGTTGTTTCTCATAAAATTTAGTCTCGTCTGCAAGCCTTAAAATGTTGACGTCTGAAACTATATCTCTCCACAAATGGTGCATCGAATGCCCTCGATCCTTTCCATACAGCTCATGAAAGAGTTCTTTTAAATTTGCTACAAAAAAAAGCAATTCATTAAAGTCTCAAGTATCCGAGTATCCGGAAGAAAAGGAAAAAAATCAATCCTCACCATTGCTGAATACAGCTGCGTGTGCTAAGAGGAAGTGAAGCAGACGAGGGTGTTTTTCCAACTTCAGACAGTGTTTACCTTCGTTGGACAATAAAGTGCAGATGTTGATAGCAAAATCCTGTTCATTCGGTAGTGGCGATAACAGCGAGAGGGCCAATTTTTCATATTCAGAAGGCTTATGAAGATCAACTGACAGACCATTGTACTCTCGAAGAGACTCTGTAAAGAAAACAAAACAATATTAACTTCTTAAAATCATCCTCAAGACAAGGGGGTGGCACAAGTTTTTTTTTTTTTTCAAAATTTGAATTTTACATTTATTTACAAAGGTCTCCTATAGGCGATCCTTATTATCTGTTAGCCCTGTTAGTTCTAGAGTGGGAAAAGCCCTTTGAAGGGTTACGAAAGATAGTTGATCCCAAAGGTCAGTTTAGAATTTCATAATGGAGCGAGTTGAATCCAAAAAGACCAGCCTCATTGTGGAATGCCAAATGAGCCTTAAAGCAATGACCTATTAGTGGCATTGGTGGATGAGGACAAATTAACTGTAGCAGAGCTCTCAGAGAGATTTCAGGTACATCGCACAACGCATAGAAAGAAGAATCCAAACTCTGGGTTAGATATGAAAGCTCAGGAACAAGGGACTGCATGGCTTGTTTAGTTTCGCAGGAAAAAAATCTGAAGCATTTATTTTCCTATTTGGTCACTGGGAATGAGAAGTGAGTCCTTTCGAGAAATGTTAAACACTGTTGGGCCATTTGCAAGAAGAATGAAACACCACTGTCAACGTCAAGAGCAAGATTCCACCATCGTATAGTCCTATTGCCTGTTATACTCTCTCCAGCGCACTTAGCTGAGACTGAGTAGTTCCAGTCCCATTGGTGAGGGGTTGTTTGGTTATTTGGTCACCCTGTTCATTACTTTTTATACCTTCGTGTCTCTGATCCTCAAGGTAACCTTGTTATTTTCTTCTAGGGCCATGAGGCAATTTAAGCATTCCCCAATTTTTGGAGCTTGAAGAATACATATTTTTTATATACATATTTGTTATAGCTGCCTGACTGTTTCACCATTAATCAACTCATGTGCATAGAGTTGGTTTGCATGGACCTCAGCACGGAAGATGGAAGATGGAAGATTACAAAAAGGGGATATTTCTGCTACCAGAAATTCAGCAGTATGTAGAAAGCAAAGGCAATTATGTTTTAGATTAATTAATAAAAATTGAAGCTTGGCCAAATTCCATGATCCAAATTAGTCTTCTAATTCAGGCGCATTTTTTAGTAGGAATCTCTATAATCTAGCACCAACACTGGAAGAAAATATTAACAACCTAGATCACTCGTTTATTTTTTTACTGTTTATTTATTTTTCAAGCCTTCTAAAGATTTATAGGGGCGTCAGTGGCCGCAACGGTTTAGGCGTTGACACGGCGTCCATCACTGTAAGGTAAAGGTCCCAGGTTCGAATCCAGCAGCCCTGCATTCGAACCCGACATTCTTACAAATGGGCTTTTTTTTCCGGACCGGCACCTTGAGGGTTGATATAACCTCTGCTGTTGTGAACCCTCGTAAAAAAAANAGAGCAGCGGCGTATCTAGCCGAAGGTCGTGGGTTCGAATCCCTCTCGTGCCATTAGCTTTTTTTCATCTCAACTAAAAACCTTAATTAATTGTCATAAACTAGAATAATTATACTGCTCACAAAACATCTTTCTGTTATGTTCCAAACTTCTTTAAATCTAGTTTAGTTCCTTGAAAAGGAGAGCATTATTCAATCATCAAACTACTTAAGTTAATATTTCAAAATATATATCACACATCACTAACTGATCCTGGCCCTAAGTCAACAAAAATATTCTAGCTTAAGGCCAACTTTCAAAAGCTAATAATCCGGTTGGAGGGCAAAATTATAAAGAGACATGAGGTATGAACGTAGATGGTATTTTTTTTTTTTTTAATCAACATTTGAAAAAATAATAATTTGTTAACAGACTTTAAAAAAAAGAAGGAAGAAATGCTAATTTAAAATTGCAGCCTACTATTAAGAATGTCATTGCCCCTAGACCTTCACTGATCCCTGCGATTCTTTCTCTTTGCCCACAAATGACACATCAAAACTTTTCTGTGTTGATTTCTTGACTACTTCAAAAAGCAAATAATAAAGCATTATATCCTCAATTACTTATACTGTTAGATTATTATCCATGATAATTGTAAATAGAGTAAATAGTCATAGAATCATGGTTTACAGGATTTCAACGAAACATTTTATTGGAACTTCTTTCTAGACGTTCAACCGCTGATGAAAAGGCTTTATGGTGCTGATAAATAATCTGGTATCACCAGTTCATCAGCATAATTCATAGATAATAAGAGTTCACACAATCATAATTCAACTGATGCAGTTTCAACTTTCACAAAACTTCTATTTTTTGTTGGAGATTATAAATATGTTTTTTATTGAAATGGTACAAACTAAAATACTTTAATACTTTTATTATTCTTAAGTAGCTTAATTTCAAGAAACTGTATGTCTCCATGAAGTCTACTAGGTGACGAAGTAGTGGGTCCTTTCTGACCACAGTTTTTGTTTGTTTGACACATTTAGTTTACAAACATTTAGTTGTAATTGTCTAAAAATCACCATAAATGAAGATGGAAAATGTCAAAATAGGTCTGATAGACTGAGCTCATCAATTCTGCATAACCAGGAAAAGTATGGGTCTGGTTTGGTTAGGTTAGGTTGGATTGGGTTAGGTTAGGTTACATATCTAAGATTCACTACTTTTCCGTCAAACTGAGCAACTATGCGAATACAAAGCATGAGTTTTTGCTCGACTCAGTCAAGCTCTGTGTTCCCTTAAAGTAAACATTTGGAAAAACAAAATCCATCCATTTAATTAACTAACAGGTTGGCGATAATTATGGATACTACTAAGGTATGTAATATCCTGTGTCCTTTGGAAGCAATTGTATATCTGTCTAACCCTGAGGAACGCCAACCCTATAACCAGCCAACCGGCCACCACCGGAGGACCCAGGGGCTCCTTCGTCTCTAGACTTACATTTTAATATGACTGACTGTATGGAATCCCCTTTCGGAGGATGTGCATAAAAACCATTTACCATTAAACCAATATGGAAAAGTGTAGGGCAAATGTGGCACCACAGTTTGTTAGTAGGTGTGTTGGTATTTTCTCTGCTTCTTTGCAGTATCTACACATACTCTGTTGGATTATACCAATCTTCAAATATAATTTAGTAACATTTCTTTGCTTTACACTGCTCGTCAAAAATTGTAATATACAATTTTTAAACTACGGTACTTTTTTTTGGATTAGGGCTGAAACTGTTTTAACGCCCCACAAAGGGGTCAAATAAAACTTCAGGACGGTGTTTTACAAATTCGGCTGATTGAATTTGATACAGGGCTTGATTTTAATTGGGAAGACGATCCAGCGGGAAGTAACACCTCATTCAGAGTTCTTCAAGTTTGAAGGGGACGGCGGCCGACTTCATCAACCGCTCGGATAAAGATCAATGAAAATCCCTTCAAAACTTCCGTGACGGGCGGGTTTACGAGGAGGAAGAAGGCGCCCGGCTGCCGCCACTGCTTCTATTTAATAAACTCTCGACGAAACCATTTTTTTCGTAACGTTTTAACAATTATTTACGGTATCACATCAGCGCTTTTTGAAATCCACACTGTAACGTAATTCAATTCCAAATATTAAAATCTCCAGATTTATCCAAAAAAATTTAATTTGCCATCTAGTCTAATTGATACTAAACACAATACGAAGAAGAAAAAAATTATATTGTTTTAATATAAGTTGCTGAAGTGAGTATGAGGGAGAATAATGAAAACAGGTCCCCCTCAACCCGGTCGTTTCCTAGTATAGCATAGTACTGTTGCCCAGCAACGGATCAAGCAGTGGGAAACACCTGTTGACTTAATTCAACCAAAATGTAAATTTGCTTCAATTTTGGCTGGCGAAGTACGCATCCTGAAAAGTAATTGACTCGGCTGTTCGAACGTTGAGACAAGTATAACTCATACGAAATGAAATTAAGACAATTTAACTTCAAGAAATGAAATTCGGACAAGTGTAAAGAAATGAAGGACAAGTTTATACGACTATAACACATACGAAATGAAATTCGGAGCTTCATTTCTTGACGTTATACTTGTCCGAATTTCATTTCGTATGAGTTATACTCGTATAGCTCGGACGAGTGTATCTTATACGAAATCAAATTCGGACAGGTACACCATATATGAAAAGAAGGTAGAATTAGTATAGCTTACAAGAAATGAAGTTAGGAGAAGTACAATTTATAAAAAATGAAATCCGGACAAGTATAACTTTTAAGAAATGAAGTTTGGACACGTATAAAAAGGAATCAAATTCGTACAACTATAACTTATAAGGAAATAATTTCGAACAGGTATAACATAAGAATTGAAGGTAGGATGGGTATAGCTTATAGGAAATGAAGACAAGTATAATTTATAAGAAATGAAATCCGACAAGTATAACTTTTAAGAAATGAAGTTTGGACAAGTATAATTTATAAGAAACGAAGTTAAGACAAGTATAATTTATAAGAAATTACATTAAGACAAGTATAATTTATAAGAAATGAAATCCGACAAATATAACTTTTAAGAAATGATGTTCGAACAAGTATAATTTTATAAGAAATGGAGTTCGAACAAGTATAATTTTATAAGAAATGAAGTTTGAACAAGTATAATTTTATAAGAAATGAAGTTCGGACAAGTATAATTTATAAGTGAAGTTGAGACAAGTATGCTTATAAGAAATGAAGTTAGGAAAAGTATTATTTACAAAAGGAAAAATGAAATCCGACAAGTATAACTTTTAAGAAATGAAATTCGGACAAGTATAATTTATAAGAAACGAAGTTAAAACAAGTATAATTTATAAGAAATTAAATCCGACAGGTATAACTTTTAAAAAGTGATGTTCGGACAAGTATAATTTTATAAGAAATGAAGTTCGGACAAGTATAAATTATAAGAAATTAAGTTAAGACAAGTATAATTTATAAGAAATTAAGTTAAGACAAGTATAATTTATAAGAAATTAAGTTAAGACAAGTATAATTTATAAGAAATAAAATCCGACAAATATAACTTTTAAGAAATGAAGTTCGAACAAGTATAATTTTATAAGAAACGAAGTTAAAACAA